TAAATGCAAATCACAACCACAATGAACTATCACCTCACACCTGTTTGAATGTCTATTATCCAAACAAGATAACAAGTGTTGTTGAGGATGTGGAGAAAAGGGGATCCTGGTGCACTGTTGGTGGGACTGTGGCCACTGTGGAAAACAGTTGAGATTCCTCAACAATTTAAAATGTAGAACTACCATATGACCCAGCTATCCCACTTCCGGGTATTTATTTGAAGGGAAGAAAATCACTATCTCTAAAAGATACCTGTGCATTTCTGTTCATTGCAGCATTATTTACAGTAGCTAAGACACGGAGACAACCTGAGTGGCCATCAGTGGGTAAATGGATAATGAAGATGTGGTGTACATAAAAAAAGAAGGAAATCCTGCCCTTTGCAATAACGTGCTGGGCCTTGAGGTCATTATGCTAAGTGAAATAGGTCAGAGAAAGACAAATACTGCATGATCTCACTTCTGTGTGTAATCCAAAACAAAACCCAAAAAATACCCACAAAACTGAATGCAGGTATAGAGAACAGATTGGTGGTTATCAGGTGGGGTGACTCGGTGGGCAAAATGGATGAAAATGGTCAAAAGGTACAAACTTTCAGCTGTAAGGTAAGTTCTGGAGTTTTTTTGTTTGTTTGTTTGTTTTTTGTGGTATGTGCCCCTAGCAGGAACCGAACCCAGGACTCTGGTCTACAGGTCAACGCTCAACCGCTGAGCCAAACTGGCCAGGGCAAGTTCTGGAGATTTAATGTTCAACATGGTGAACTCTAGTTAACAATATGTATTTTATCATTGAAAGTTGCTAAGAGAATTGATCTTAAAAGTTCTCATCAGGAGAAAAAAGTAACTACGTGAGGTGATTGATGTTCACTGAGTGTGATCAACATCCTTACGTTGTACACCTGAAACTAACATGTCGTGTGTTCATTGAATAAAACGCGGGGGGGGGGGGAAGTAAACAAGAAAGAGTAAGTTTAAGAAAGATGGGGAATTTGGACTTTGGACATCAGATGAAGATGCTCAGTAGGCACTTTCATTTTTTGAAGGTAATTTCCTCATTCCTGGAAATGCTAACCTACTCATTTTACTCACCTTGATTTCGGAGACTGTCTAGGGCTGCCTTTGGAGAAGAGGAAGATACTGTGATAACAGGAAGTTTTCCCTACCTTCTTCCACCAAGGTGGAAGTATTGACTTTCATTATCTGAACTAGTAATAGTAAAAATAATTTTAATCACGATAGTAATATCTAGCATGTATTCAGTATTCACTCTATGCGAGTACAAAGAAGTTAGAGCTGTACCTAGATGATCACGTTGGATTCTCATGATAACCTAATGAGGCAGACGCTGTTGTTATTCTCAAAGAGTTGATAAGAAGCCCAAGGCCAAGTGCGAGTACCTTATCTGGGCCACAATTAGTAAGAAGTACATGAGGGTTCAAGCCCAGGTAGTCTGACCGGCATTCTGAATTGCCACTGTGAACTAACAATATTGAAATAATCCCTGTTTAGCCTGGATATAAATAAATAAATAAATGTATATATGTAATTTTTTTTTTTTTACCCTGTGTTTGAAATTTGTGGCTAATGCTGTAAAACAGGACTGAGTCAGGAGTCATGCATGACTCTTATCTGAGCTCACACTTTATTTGCTATGTGGCCTCTGCAGAGTCACATCTCTTCCCAGGTTCTCATTATTTTAAATCTGCGTGTGAATCAGAAAAGAAGTTGACTAGATGATCGCTAAGGGTTTCTTCTGCATTCTGAAGGTCTCCCACTCTATCTCAAAGTTTACCATCGCTTTGGGTTAAAATCGTACCTGCCCGGTCTCTTTTAGAATAGAAATACTTCTAAGAGGGCTGACTCAGATGGCCTGTCCCTGCCAGATGATGTCAACTAGCCCCTCGGGCAGGTGCCGTCAGGGTGCCGACATTGGGGGAGCCTGCGGTTCGGAGAGTGGACACCAGGATGAGCACGAAAGTGGAGGAATCTCCAGAGTCAGGGATCCGTTTCTTCATATTGGATGTGTCCCATTCTGAGACAGTTTTCTCATCTCTGAATTATTGGGGTGATGGGTATACATGTTGTAAGGGTTTAAGGAGTGAAGCAAGTAACATAAAGCAGGCACAACACGTGTCTGCCCCGTCAAAGGTGCTCAGGAAATGGGGTCCTCGCCCTTCTCCCCCAGGAGGACAGAAATGCAGGGAAGGGAGGGAGAGTATTTCTGAAGAAAAACTTCCTACCTCATAGTTCTGCTAAGGGCCGCCCATTAGTGAGTATCATTCATACATATTAGGAAGTAGTATATATGGGAAATACAAAATACGCAGCATATTCAATACCTTTCAAAATGTGACTCTCAGATAATCATTGATAAACTACCCTCTTAGATTCAAAGAAGCCTCAACATTCCACAACACAACATTTTAAACTTTTTTTTGATTGTCACCTTGTAAATAAATAGGCCAGGATTGCTATAAAGACATAGTATTGCTCAGGGTTGGTGATCCGGGACTCCATTATGATGGCATTGAATACACAGGAGACTGAATGACTTCCAAGTTTGTGTGCGCGCGTGCACACGCTGTCTTCTGTCTTTTTTTTTTTTTTAATCCTCATCAGAGGATATGCTTTTATTGATTTTAGAGAGAGATGAAGGGGGAGAGAGAGAGAAAAAAAACATCTATTTTTGCCCCTCATTCGAGGCTGACCCGGGATCAAACCCACAACCCAGGTATGTGCTCTGATGAGGAATTGAACCCCCAGCCTTTTGGTATACAGGACGATACCCCAACCAACTGAGCCACCTGGCCAGGGCTATGCTTCTATCTTCATGACGAACTTTCCGCCTTTGCCTATAAAATGTTCACTGTCCTCGTGTCTTTTCTCTTGTCACCAACTACCAGGTGTCACCTGTGATAGGTTAAATTAATTAATCAAGTTGAGGATGCTTTTTAAAGATGGGAGCATCCTTGAACTCAAGTGAGTGATCGAGAGTGGTACTTTTTCGAAGTTAAAAGAAAAGTTTCCAAAATAACTCAAACTTCCTGCATTTCAGAAAATGCCCACAGAAAATACTTCCTGTTGTCAGGATGGAAAGGGATTTATTTTCTTATCTGATTTCCCCGTACTCAGCTCACTTCAAAACAGGGATGAGACACAGGGTTCCCGGGCTTTGGAATGCATACATAAGAAAGTACTGTAAGGGTAGCTGTTGGACAGAAGAATTGTGTAACTTGAGAGCTATATCCTGGTTTTTATGACTGTCGCCTTAGTTCTTGGTGGGAGTAACAGCTTTATTGTTTCAAGTAACTGAGATATGCCTACTACAAAATATTGTAATTTCTTTGAGAGCCTGGGCGGCGCCTTAATGCTGCTTTTACAGAGTTGGGCATAAAGTATAAAAAGTGTGACTTGGCATGAAAAGGCTTGGAATCCCTTCCCGCATTCTCACTTCTCAGCGATGTAACCTTGAGCTTCCCTCGGACCTGACAGTCACAGGGGCTGGCATTTGTTGAATGCTGCCCCTGCTCAGCACACTGCGCACGTTATCTCATTTCATCCCGACAACATGTGGGTATTATTGTCACTATTTACAGATGAGCATGCCCTGGGGATCAGAGAGAATCAGCCACTCGGTATTGGGTCTCTGAGTGGAAATTTTCTTATCTGTACAAACAGGAAAATAACACATGATCTCCCTGCCTTACGGAGTTTGAGGCTGAAATGCTGAGTCTGGGAATGTGCACTCACATTCATAAAATGGGAGGCTCTGCGCAGATGTCCAGGGTGATTGTCACAGTGGGGACCTCCCAAGATGTCAGTTGTAGTTGGGCCTGGTGTAGCACCAGATCTTCAGGGAAGGGAGAGCCACTGTAGATAAAGACTTTTGCAGAATGCATTAACAAAACTGTATTTTCTCGCCCTGTTCTTTGGTAGTTTGTCTTATGATAACTGTTGCTTTCAAGGGTAACTTTTACTTGTAAGTACCAAGGCTCTGCTAGGCTGGGCCAGGACCTGGGTCTTGATGGTGAAGGGGGAAGGAAGGTGTAGTTTACAGAGAAGAGGTGACTGCCAGAGGGGTGTTTCGATATAAACAGAGAAGGCTGAAAGTCAAAGCCAGGGTCGAGGAGGGCATAGGCATGGTGTAGAATGCAAGACATCATCTCTAGGGTGTACATCAAGTGTGAGAGACAGGAAAGGCCTGGAATCCGCTCAAGGAGGGTAGCATTATTTCCCAGCGTCTGCTGAGGTCTGACCATTGAGTGGAGAAGCTAGACACCCTCTGCCCTGATTTTTGGAATGGCTTCTTTTTCTTGGACATGTGTGCTTTCTGTAAAATCTTTGAAAAATACAGAATAGTATAAAAAGAGAAAATGGAAATCACACCTATTACCACCAGCAAATGATAATTACTATTAATGTGTTGCTGTATTTCCTTTTGGTCTTTTTTATAGGCATATTTTGTAGAATTGGGATTATACTGAGTTTAGAATTTTGCATCTAGTACACTTCACCAAACATTTAAAATAATTTTTAAGTAAAGTCAATAATATTTATGAACATTGTGTGCAGTAGTTACATGGCATTCCAGGTGGGATTTTACCAGATTCATTTGTCTTCTCCCCTCTTGCTGGACATCTAGATGGTTCCCGCATGTCCAAAATGTCACAAATAATACTTTGATGAACATCTTCTATCATATATATATATATTTATATTTTAGGCCATTTTCTTAGGATCAATTATTAGAAGTGGAATTATTGGCTCAAACAGATGGACCTTCTTAAGGCTTTCTGTATATCTTGACATTTTTCATTGTTTTTCCAGGAGATTGTGGTAATCAACATCCCCACAAGCAGTGCATGAGAATATAGATTTCACCTCCACCCTGCTTATAAGCTCTCTTTTGGTGAAGATAAGGGGGTGAGGGGACTGGCGTTAGTGCTTCCAGAGATAACCCCACTGTGGAAATATTCCTGCTTGACAGTTGCTTCAAGGAGGCTGAGCTTTCACAGTGGGAGTTGAGGACGGCTGGATGGGAACCGGGTAGGTTTAACCTGTGTGAATGAGTGTTTGTAGGAGAGTTGACCTCAGTGGATTAGCTTTTCCTCTAGTGGTTCTGTTATCAGAGGCCTGACACTTGGATGCCATGGGCTGTGTGGGGTGACAGCTGTCACTGCAGTCTGCAAAGCTACTGATGCTGACTTAAACTAGGTAGAACGAAGCACCCCCTGCTTAAGGGAGAACTGGTTCAATTCGCCTTTCAAATCCCAACACATATTAACAGCAAGTATGTGTGCTTATTTGCATTTGTTCTATTGTTGCTTTTAGTTGGTCTTGACCTATTCCCCTTCCACTGCTGATAGGGCCTCTTGGGCGAGTATTAGATAGTTGTGTCTTTTGACAAAATGAGATACAATGCAGGGAATACCATTTTGAATAAATAACAAAGATAAGCAATTGGAATCGCCTTAAAAATCACTTACATGGTCATTATTTTAGAATTTTAATTTGATGACTAATAAACTTAGTCTTTCAAAAAAAGCCTCTGCAGTCATTATTAGGCTAGAGTCAACTAAGTTGATTATATTGACCATCTTATTGAGGTAAACAGCCAATTTGAATCCCCCCCTCCCATAAAGTTACCTGAAAGATGGGCTATATTAATATAATTTATTTTGTATTTTGACTTCTGTAGCTGATAAAGAGAAAAGCCTAGTAAGGGAGTCTGGCCAGGACAGATTAAAATCTAAGTTATACTTCTCTTTGAGGTTTAATAATTAGTCCAAAAAAAAAAAACTTATTTATTTGATTACAGGTATCATTATGACTTTTTATATAGAGGATGGTAAATTCAAATCAATCAAGGGCAGTTCAAACAAAATTGTATTTGCTCAAGAGCAAAGTCTCAGCCTGGACAAGACAAGTGAAGGCAAGTATTAATTCATGAATCTGTTAACTTTTCCCTGCTGTGGGCATTAATGATATGCATTTCATCTCTATGATATGCAACCTATTATAAAAAGGTTACATTTTGGTCAGGGAACATATTCAGCGACTGACATCATTAGCTGTGTTTATTTGGTATCCCTTATTTGCTTATTTTTCTGTCCCTTGGTAATTCCTGTTCCACACACAGCTGTTGTTTGCATTAAACTTCAGACTTTGACAGGGTGACATTTAGGTGAAGCTCTGATTTGATTTGCTCAGATTTTCACTTTTGTTTTTTTATCTTTATTGTTGAAAGTATTACAGATGTCCCCTCCATATCTCCCCATTGACCCTCTCTTCCCCACCCACCCTGGGAAGAGAAAAACCGAAGAGCTTGGTCAGATTTGCAAACATACTTTCCAACCTTGTGTCCAAGGGCCCCAGCTCAAGGCTACTCCTTGGGGATTCTTGGCTCACGCCTGGACCTTGGTTTGGTTTCAGGCTCCCGAGGTACCATGGATGGGGAGAGGGCATGACCTCCTTTCTCATTCTGGTTTGCAGCCACACTGGAAGGTCTGGGGTCATTCTGGAAGGTCAGGAAGGTTTAGCCCCCACATGTGCGCAGACCAATTCGGAAGGTTGTCCCTCGGTGGGGGTGAGATGAATGGAAACCTGAAATGCTTCCCTTAACTCCCCCAAATCCAAATTAATTTTGGATTCAAGCACGCAACCACTCCCCTGAGGCTGTGTAAAAACTGCTCAGACCATTAACTGGAAACTGAGAACGTTAAGACATTTAGGATGGCTCTCGAGGGGCTCAGTTGTGTGCTAGTGAGATCATTCCTGGGACATGGGACAGGCCATGGTGACCCTGCTCCTCCGTACTTCTTTTTATTAACCCACACAATCCCAGAAGGCCATGTGGGCAAGTGCTGTAGCGAATGACCCTGTATTAGTCCCGAAATGGCTTTTGGGGTCTCCAGCTTTGGAAACCTCCAAATGTAGAGCTCCTCATGAGGCTCCTGGTCTCATTCTTTAAAATTGCTTTGAAAATGTCACATTTAAGCATAACTGTACTTACCACAAAGGCTCTTGGGGAGAAAGAGCAAACCTAACACCATGATGTCAGCCTTTCCTTTCACCGTCTACTGAACCTCTTCCTCTGGGCTCAGCCATTTCGAGGTCCTCACAACCATGCCTGGCTGTTGCAAGCCAAGGTGTGATACTGTGAGAAGGTTATTTTATCTGGACAAAATGAGAAGTACCGTAATGGATGTTAGTGAAAGCTAATCCTAGGGACTTTGATGACAGTATAAATTTCAAGAGCATATCTTATAGGAAAGAAAATTCAAAGACTAATAAAGGTCAGAGAGCTTTACCTAACTGGTGTTTGGGGCTGTTTCCAGTATACCTGGCAGTCTGACATGGTGGATTTCCCAACTGATTACCATAGCACCTTTTCTGCCCCCCCCCCCCCCGCCCTGTCGACCATGAGCTCCCTTTGAATTATTTTTCATGATTCCAGATCTTGACAGAAGCCGCCCCCTGACTCTGAATGGAGACTTTCCCTAGAATCTGTTTTTGTTCATCTTCTCAGATACCCTTATCTCAGTAACTATAAGGCTTTGAAAAGCTAAAATAATACTTCTTCCTTCCAAAGGAAAGGAAAAACAAATACGTAAATATACAGATATTCTTTGTCCTGCAAAAAAAAAAAAAAAATGGAGTGATGTTCAGGTGGTAGAATATAAACATTGACCTAAAGAATAATTTTTTAATATTAAAATATTATTATTAAAATATTCTTAAATGACTAGTGATCAATTAAGGTTTAAGCATAGCTAGTAGAAATGGTTATCTAGTTTGGTGAGAGATCATCACTGAAATCATTGTTTTCTTTCCATTCAGTTTTAATTATTATTATTTTTTTTGACCAGGCCAATTCTTTTAATGATGTATTGATAAAATTGTGTCTTGCTTTTGAGTTTGAGATATTGGTATGCACCCTTTTTAGTATACTAATCATTGCTTAAATAAACCATTCCTATACCTCTCTTATCATCCTAGGATTGCGAATGGTTTATTTTTAAGACCGTTTGCTAATACCACGATGAGGTCATTCTTCTTACATTGTAGAGTTTCTGTCAGTGATGTCTGCTGTTAATCATGGCAGTGTAAATGCTGCCAAATATACACCTTTCTTTTCTTAATTGCAAGTTAACTATTTTATGGCTACTTGTTAGAGAACCCAGGAGACCAATAGGAATAATTGAGACATGGCTGCTGAGACCAGATATTATTTCTTCAGCTTCCTATTCAAATAAATAATTAACCACCAAGTTGCTTATAAATAAATCAAAAGTTTTATAATAAACAACAAACTAAGAAGCAGTTGCTTATCATTTACGGATATAGAATGTTATAGAAATGGTAGACAATAATAATCAGAATGAGAACTGTTTTTTAAAGATAACTAATATGAAGCACATTGCAATTGTGTAAAGTTATAATTGGGCGTTTTCCAATCGCTGCTTCTTGAAATTCTAGTCTTCCTTCGAGTTCCATCTTTATAGGATTTCCTCAAATCTTGAGCCCTCAAAAGAGCCATCAGTCTTGTTACAACCTGTATTTATAGCACATACATAGTCTAACCTTTATATCTCATTCATTCATGTATTCATTCATTCATTCATTCATTCATTCATTCATTCATTCATTGGTTCATCCCTACTATGTACCAGGTACTAGCCACCGGGATACAAAAACCAGAAAAACGTAGTCCCTGCCTTTAGTGGAATTAGAGTCCAGTAGACCTCGGCTTCTTACTTGTTTACCTACACTCATCTGCATGGTAAGTGCCCTGAGTGTGACGACCACGTGTACTTATTCATCCCTGTGACCCCTGCTACTCGTAACAATGGCTCCCATGTGGTGTGCACCCAGTCGGTGGTAAAAAATGAACTGATTATTATATTCATTCTTAAATAATTCAGAAGCACAAGATTGAAGATTTCAGCATCTTCAAATGTCTTTAAAGCCTTTGTTCTCATACGGTTGCTAACTAGAAGAATAACTCCACAAGATAAGTCTGTCTAGTTCCACTTGAGTCAAAAGTCCCCTTCTCAGAACATGCTGTGTGGCTACATCTCTGTTACATTCCAGAGCTCAAATATGATGGGTGGCAGTGTCTGAGCTGCCTCAGGTTTCTGTCCCGAATGCAGATTATTTTGACATGCTTCTGTTTTGGTGAGAAAACGCATCCTTCCCTCCTTTGCGGGGAGCTTGGATGTAAAGCAATGGACCAGGAATAATAGTGGCTGCTTATTTTGCACTGACTAAATACCAGGCATCGGGCTAAGAACTTTCTACGTGTTATCACACAGAGACCTCTCAACAATCTTGTAAGGTCGGTCCAGTTTCTGTCTCTATTCATTTAGATGAGGAGACGGAGGCTCAGGGAAGTTCCCTGAGCCTCGGTCTTACAGGGAATAAGCGGTGGAACCAGGACTCACTGATGGTCTCCGCCTCCACCGCCCACCACTCAGTATCCAAGTGGGGTTTGTGGAGGCATTCATGGGGAGGGGCCTGGGACTTCTTCTAGATGATAGTGTTTACATCACGTGGGTGTTTTATTTCAGTGATCATCTAAAATGATATTAGCATATTCTGGGTCATCCAGATGACCACCTTATAATGAATAATACTGCCATGTGACTTTGATGCCTGAATTTGTGTTCTTTTATTAACAATCAAGTTGGTGCCCATGTAACTTCAGTTGTTGTGGACTTACGGGAGTGAACTGATGGACTTGATTGTGTACTTAGCCTTAAGTGAAGGCTACCCGAAGGTGTGGAGCACGGCACCGGTCCAGGGATGTCTGATCCTGTTGTGACTGCAGAAATGTGGGGGGAGGGTCCTAACACCAGGCGAGTGGAGGAATAGTCTGACCTCCGGCACATCTGCACTGGAGTTTTCCGTACCAGAGTCATAGTGAGACTTGAGGGTTACTTTTAACAAAACATCGTCACCTGAATATAAGTCAATTTAAACTGGATTGGCTTTGAAACTTCATTTGTATTTGGTCAGAACACGAAGTTGGAGTTGATGGTTTTAGAAAAGGTTTGAAACTATAAGAACTTAGTTTTATGTTTGGACATGTTCAGGTATTACAATAAAAAACATTTAAGTCGAAATTGGGAGGGAGGCGGTATGATTTTTTTCTTAAGAACAGTGGTCTGTACATTTTTCAAATATGAAAAAACAAGATTCCTCTGCACTGCTTAAAAAAACTTTCCTCTCAAAAAATGCTTCTCGCCCTGGCCGGTTTGGCTCAGTGGTTAGAGTGTCAGCCTGCGGTCCAGCCCGGGTTCAGTTCCCGCTAAGGGCGTGTACCTCGGTTGCAGTTTGTCCCATTCACGTCGATGTTTCTCTCTCTCTTCCTCTCTCTCCCTCCCACTCTATCTGAACAAAAAATGGAAAATGTACTGAGGTGAGGATAAAAAAAAATGCTTCCTCTTCCCCTCCTCCCCCCAGAGATCTGGCCTGCAAAGCCTTTCTCAGGATACAGCATTGCCATTTCCTCCCAACCTGTAAATGGTTTCTGGGAAGGTTAAGGTCTGACCTTGGGTGAAACTCTCCCTTGCTGTCGTCCCCTCCTATGGCCTGTCAATCAAGGTGCCTTTGGATTCTCTTCCCTCTCTGACTCGATTCTGATAACTGACGGTTGTGTGTGCACATCCCCTGTGCTGTATAATAATTATCTCACCACCATAAAGGTTTGGCAGTGTGGGCTAGGAAGTGGTCCCAGCCCCACCTGGGCAGACAAGATAGTGACAATATATTGGGATTTAAAAGGCTTCTGGTTTGGAAGGTCTCTGCGTCTGTCCAAAATGAGGGCTTTAGTTACTCTTGGGAAAGACGAGGACAGCCTTGTTCAAAGCAGACCATCAGAGGAGGTGATAACACGGTGGTGTACTTATCCTTCGCTCTCTCATATTGCTT